AGCATGCTTGGTTCCAAATGTTTTGGTATTACTTTTCCTTTTGAGTAAACAAGGCAGGTCAAGAGATGGGTGGTGATGCATGGGCAATGTATGGTCTCTACAATACTGCCCAGGCCTTGTGCTATGGGGATGAGCAGCTTCATCTCTGGTCTTATCGACATGGGCTGTGAGTTTCCTGCCTTCTAATAGCACACCATAACACGATCGTCTAGAAAGACGAAATGGTGCTAACCAACACAATGTTTTAGAATGCTTAGTTAGTATGGGCTGCTTGAAGGAAGCTAATGAAAATCAGATCAATAAATACTGCTATAAGGAAAAAACAAACATTGTCCTGTGGTCACGTGATTGGGGGGGGGGGGAGCATCATCTCTCTTGGTCTGCCTCTTCCTCTTCTACCGTTGATCTTCCCAGTCCTTACAACATTCTCCATAGCCCTGCTCTCCCCCCCCCCCCCCCCCCCCCCCCTTCCCCGCTGCTGAGACTCCTTGGGTGTATAAAGGGTTTTCAATAAAATCGCTACCATGTCAGTCTAGGCTACAAAAGAATCCTTGACAGTAAGATCATGGGATTTTTCCATGAATGGAAATAACAGTTGACAAGAAGATAACCAAAACACGACAGAAAGAGACATTGCCATCAAATGCTGCTGCCAACAAAGCTGGTAGAATAGTGTCCCCTCTTTGAATCTTTCGCCCCTCTACCATTCAGTCGAAAAGTAAGGGTAGTCCCGTAGCCCGATAAAAGATAATTCTATAAGGATAGTTTAGTCGAGGTTGTAATATCACTGTAGAGGTCGCCCCATTACTGTTACATTCCAGTGCAGGTGGAAATCATATAAAATATCCTTCATCGTCCCATTCGAAAACTAGTGTAAACTTGTCAGCAAAATCTTTGAGCTTGCACACCTAAAGTGAAAATGCAATAGATAGCTTTCAGGCGTGCCAACACTAACGGCCCCCGCCAGAATTGCGGCTCACTGTTGTTCATTAACGAAATATTGCACCCACAGATTTAAAAAAAAAAACACTCCACAGAAAATCACAGCTTTTAGTGTCGCACTAAGCATTCAGCTTAGTAGCTGGGTGACGGAACTATTGGACTCCCCGTCCAGAAATGAGGAATTTGCATCAGCAAAACCTTACTGAAAACAAGTAGCAAAAATCTGTCTAGTGGTGAAGTGTTAAAGCCTCGTCATATTCTAAGCCACGGCGAATGAGGCTGGGTTTTCTTCTCTGATATTCTGAAAATTTTCTTATTTCTATTTTTATGAGCCTGGGTCGACCCAAAGCCGTAAAGGGGAGCTGGGTGGAAATGGGAGTGGAGGGGGGGGGGGTCATGCTGCTTCTGGGGATTAAATTTGGCTTGAAGGGCAAGCGTCACACTCAGCTAGCAAGTTGAACCACGTAGTAAACAACGAAAAGCGAACGTGGTGAACTTTATCGGAACCAGTCAAAAGCTATTGATTTCATCTTGAATTTTTCTGGAATTTTTAACTATGATGTCCGTAAATAAAGGAAAGTGTACCTTTATGGGAGTGGTCAACACAAGTGATATAACAGATACAATGATGTTGAATCAAGAATCGACATCAGATCACTCGCGACAGCTTCATATGAGCTCCGTCCCCATCTTCAACGACTAGCGAAGAGTTTAAATTCCAACGGTACCAGCAACTCTTTGATTGTATGTTTGTCTCGCCCTTTCCTTGAATTTTTAGCGTCGACCAAATCCCCTGGTAACTCCCCGCAGCGCCATATTCCTCAGACCGTAATGATCTATTTGTACCTCTACACTGTTCACTTCCTCCCCCCCCCCCCCCCCCCAGCATTTAACTTGTTATCCAGCAATTCACCAGCAGGTGGTGCAGAACCGGCCAGTCTCAACACACCGGCATGACCTGGAGAAAATATACGCTAACTACTGGGGACTTCTGAAGTGATGCTTGCCACTCTGCACGTAGCATGCCTGTCTCCACCTTTTTTCAACTTGCTCTGTGTCCATATATCAGTATATATAACAGATAAACTGGCTTAATTTAGGAACATTAATGCTCATGAAAGGCAGCGAAAGACAAAGAAGAAAAGAAGCTGAGGCCAGTCAACGACTTCACAAGTTTTAACATCTAGGCAATACATTTTAACTCTTCTAATACCAGTTAACGCATTGTGTGTGACGGGATAACCTTCATGAGTCACAGTCAACGAATAATGTGTTGTGTATTTGACATGCTCTTGGTCCAACCATACTCAGGAAATCTGGCTATCCAAGTGGCCACTCCGCTGTGTTTAGCACTCATACTTGTCTAATATTGGCAATTGCTGCCAAATCTTCTAGTACCGAACGAGTTAACATAGTATGCAATCACAGTTTACATCAAAACATCAGATGATAGAATTAAACAACACACACAAAATTAAGAGTAAATCTCCTTAGTGTCAGCTAAAAGTAAGACACATGAAGAAACATTAAGTGGTTAAACGTGTTTTAGAGAGTTGTGTCTGTACCAGAGGTCTGAATTTAAGTGCATCCTGTCTTTCCTCTTAGTGCGGAGTGTCAGCCAGATCCCCTAGTGCACCATTCTTTTCAGACCATGATAATGCCATGACAATATCTAGCTTGTCATGCACAAATTTAATACAAAGGGGAGCTGAGCCAGTAAGTATGTCTGTCTGTTCGTTTCCTAACTCACCTGCATAGGGTTAGTTGCATATCCTTTATATGACGTTGCAGAACCAACCCCAACAGCCTCTGGCTGTTGTGTGGCTTTACTAGGCAAATTTACGTCCAGTAGTTTGCCATTGCTCCTGGACGGTCGGCCCCCTGATACCACTGACGAAACCAAAGCAAGGCGCATGGCCCGTAGCTGGGATCGAACCCGGCACCCCGGCATTACGAAGCGTTCGCATCGACTTAGCCGCAGAGACACACTTGCATACCTGGAGAAAATATCAAAAGAAGGATGCTAAGTGCGTTGGACTTTTGAAGCGGCGCATGGCACTGCGCAAAGCATACCTGGCTATACTTTTTTCAGCATGCTTTGTTTTTCATGGGTGAGGATACGAATCACCATGGCAAAAATAGTCTTTCGCAATTCGGAAAACAATCACTAGCTAAAAGATGTCAGTTGCAGTGAAAATAATAGTACTATAGTGCTGGGTGCGCCGATGCAAAGAAGACATGATAGGGAAAAGGGGGGGGGGGGGTTGAAGGGGTCTACACCTTTATAAGTTGTCAAGCAAATCCTCAAGAGATCTAAGACTTGCTTAAGAGGGCAATTATTATTATGCTAGATAAAAATACCTTGATAGCTTGGCCACATGACTTAACCATGACAAGAACACATACCTGATCTCTGTGGTGAGCATGTGAGACAGCACCATTACCGCCTACCTTCGTCTGTGTGGCACATAATGATAATAAAAGAATCGATGTAATCGACTATCTATATCCAAATACTCGTTTTAATAGACAAACATTGTAATCGATTACCATCGATCCCGAGCAGACGTGAAAGTTTTCCGGTGGGTAGAAGATACAAATTACTCCATTAAATTGTTAGCATAATAAAATTATCTTCACCTTCTTCTTCAGCATTCCGAGCCCTTGAGATTCATTGATACAGATATCACCCACCTCCACTCGTCTCTCTGGTTGGCTTTCTCTTTCCAGTTGGTGACACCAAGTGTTTGTTTCTTCAGGACCAACTTGAAGAGACGTGGAGACTCACTGGAGACAGAGCGTCATCTAGCTTTGAGACTTTAAGCCATATGTTATTTGAAAAGGGTCTGACTTTCTGCTTTTATATGTTACTATATTATATGTCTTACATACGTTGTTTGGTCATAGTGATTAACTTCTTTAGTATTCCAAAGACCTTCATAGCATTCCATGTGTGCACTAACATCATATACCGTCTTTGAGTCCCAGGGGGTTTAGTATCAGAGGCCCAAGGGGTGGTAATGCATTTTTTTAATTTCACAAGTGTAACACATTAAAACAGACCATACTAATTCAGTTGCCTCGCTACATACACATATTATATATCAAAGTGACCAGGGATTGTTAAGGAATAATTATAGAATACAGCTGTAACAAATAATTGTGTTTAGTAATTAAATATTAGTAAATAAACAGAGGGTATGTTTACAAAAATTAGTAAAATGAAATTTTAAAAAATTCCACTTACCTTGTGTCATTGATTACCAACAAAAGTGACACTATCAAAGAAATTAAACTATGACTATCAGTTGCTCTTCAAAGACTAAAAGAACTGAATAAATTGTGAAGTGGGACAGAGAGAACTACAAAATTTAGATTTCTAAGAGCATGCATTTTTCCTATTGCAACATGCACCAGTCAAACCTGGACACTGACTAAACAAGCTGAACAATGCATGAAGGCCTTTGTTATAGACGGGTTCTAAGAATATTCTGGGTAACAAAACAAAAAAACAAATGCACCCATACTTCAAGAACTGAATACTGAAGAAGGTTGGCTATTAAAGATGATAAAACACAGAAAATTGAAATATTTTGGTTACTGAAACGCCACGAAAATTTAGAGAGAATAGTAATGGAGGGGGACATGCCTGGGAAGAGGGGAGAGGAGGGCCAAAGAGAAGATGGGTGCAAGGTGTGGTTGATGATCTCCAGATGGGTGTATCGGACACGGGTCATCTTGCTTGTGATCAAAGGGTTTTCCAGAGTTTTGTTATCCGAGCAAGGTTCTGCAAAGGACATGCTAATGACTGACGGACTGACTGACTGCTGGTGCTTAACCATAGACTTTTAATGCTGTTTAAAATTCATACATACTTTAGTATTATAAGACTACTTAAAGTTAGTTTTGTATCCTTTACAGGATGTTGCAGAACCAGCCTCAGCATTTTTTAGTTGTTTTTTTTTTTTTCTAGGCAGATTTTACGTTCAGTAGTTTGCCATTGCTGTTTGAACAAAATGAATGAGTTAAAAGGCTTTATAACACAGTTATTTCAGAAAATGAGTCACCAGTTGCCTGAGGGTGGCAGTCCTTTACGAGACAAAAGAAGACAAAGTGATGCCAAGTGGAGAGCAAGTGTGGCTACATGTTATGATGTTCTGAAATATGTTGTGCCAAATGTGAAGCACATGTCAAAGAAAAAAATTTCAAAGGTATATCAGTTTCTTTGTCCTGATAAACTCTTGATGTCACATGCAGCTGATATGATAACTCTTTATTTATTTATTTTTTTCAACAGTGGCTAAATATTACATTTTTGTGTATTAAGGAGTTTTCATAGTAACTAAAGAAGAATCACCAGTAAAGAACTAAGTACAATGGTAGGCACAGTTCAGTAAATGATTTTATAGAACATCAAAGAGGGAAATGGTTTGGTTATCTGGCCAGAATGGGGCCAAATTAGCAAGTAGCTAGAGTGTCCACATGATAACAGCAGGCTATAATGTAAAATCCGACCAAGAAAGCAATGGGTGGATGGGAATAAAAAAGATATTACAGAAATGCAGTATGACATTAACACAAGCTACACAACTAGCAAAAGACATGAAACTAGTTCTAACTCCTCTCTACAGGTCTTTACAGCATAAGCAGTTTGAAAAAGAAAATTATGTTAACTTTCTTCTTCTTCGTCTTCTTTGCGTTCACCAGCTGTACACTCTGGCGGAAAGTTCTGGTTGATCGTCCACTACTGAACTGCAGTCCTGCTCCAGAACCTGAGTGTTGTGTGGGCATCAGTTTTACAGATCTCATTCTCTTGAATACAGACTGTTGGTTCCTTGCCTCTCCGGCAGATGCACTCCGACTTCAAAGGAAGCTCCCCAATTAGTCGACTCTTACGACATGCTTTTGGGGAGGCAGTGGGTCTATTCTTGTTTTCCCCACAATGGAGCCCCGGAACCCACACAGGGGTATGTTAACTTTGAAACCAAAGAAAATCAAGTGTCAGTTAAAAAAAAAAGAAAATTTCCAGGATTGCAGTCTGTAGGATTAATTTCTTATGGATGAGAACAAACAGGTACAAATCCCAAAAACATTGTTCTGGCTCGTAAAGGTAAAGGAACCTATTCCAGGTCTTCTGGCGTATTGGGCACATAGGGTTAGACCTAGATTTCATAGACCAATCAGCGCTCTGTAGTTGATGTGGTCAGCTTCATGCCAGCCAACTTTACTTCCCATGACTTTACCTAATACCCATTCAAGGCTGGGTTGACTGGAGAGCCAAGGTCATTTTGTAAACAAGTCTGGCTCCATCAGAACCTGAATCCATGACCTTCGAATCTATAGGAGGGTGTCTAGCCACTACACCACAGTGGCTCCCTTTTCAGACCTATATCATTGTTATTTTAGGGAACCGACATTTATGAAGTAATCTGCAGTCCAGTGTGGGTTGTAAGTTTGTAGTTAAGCAACAGTTCACACATAATGTCTTTGCACTAGAGCCCACAGAGGCATTAAAAAAAAGGAAGACACACACACACACACACAAACACATGGAGAAGGGAGCTAGAGCATGAAGTTAAAAAGATTGGGAGAGTTGCATGTGACAGCAAAGGATAGCATGACTTGGAATGAGTTGGTTGAGGACCTATGCTGCATTGGGAGCTAGAAAGGCAGAAAAAGTTCACACAGAGTGGATTGATATAATAACTCGACCTGATGAAAGAATTGAAGAAAATGTCATTATCTATGAGGTCTCCTGTAAGCAAATTAAGAGATGATTGAAGAGTAACTATATTACTGAACTGTTCATATCTGGATATCATGCTTAATACAACAGTTATTCCAGGCGGTGTTTGCTAGACAGTTTCATTGCCTGACATATTTTGCTGTGGGAGCGACAATATTGTGATGGCTAGATGCTTACCTGCAGATCTGAAGGTCGTTGGTTCAGGTCTTGATGGAGCCTGACTGTTTTTCTTTTTTTTTAATTTGTGTGATTTATTAGGATTTTATTATTATGTATTATACTTAACTCATACTTAGTAGCATAAATATTGGTGTTGAATTAATTCTTTTTTTTATCTTTGCCATTTATGTAGGCACTAATTCTTCAAGAATGTGAGAAACACATACAGGATCTAGAAGACACTATCAGTTATCTGTTTCATGTTGAGTGTAGGTATTGTTATATCAGTTTCAAGGGGACTATAGCTGATTCCTTATCTGGGTTACATCTTTCTTATTTGTCCAAGTCTCCCCCACCCTCCCCCCACACACACTCATGCACACACACACACACACACACACACACACACACACACACAGGGAGTGGGGTAATGAAGTGCTAAGAGATAAATTCTGCAGAGTTGACCTAATAACTGTATCAACGTATGAACTGACTCAGCAGTAAAATTAACATTGATCTACCAGTCCTCTGACCTTTCAGGGATTTAGTTAGTAAATACCCTTTAATTCTGACAAAATACAGTGCTCATGTTCTCCCTTATCCATGTTCCCTTGCTTAAATCCTTTTTCCCCTGCAGTGAGAGCCATGGCATCTTGTTCGTGTGAATCTATCGGGTGTTTCACCTGCGGCGGCACCCAGTATTTCATTCATAACTCGGGACACTAATAAAGATATGACAATGAAATTTTGATCAGACTTACCTCTGTTCATGCAAAGTTGGGTGACATCGTAAAAGGTGGTGGAAATGGCTGAGTTATGAATGAAGTACTGGGTTCCGCCCTGAGTGAAACACCGGGTACCTTAATACTTATATCATTCACATCCCACTTGCATACATCTTAGAGGATGTCCTTAGAGTCTGTACCATCTATCATTCACATCCCACTTGCACACATCTTAGAGGATGTCCTTAGAGTGTACCATCCTCCCAGTGTTTTCTAGCCGTCTGAGCCTTCAAAGACTGAGCACTGTGGAAACTGTTACGTTACCTGGTCTTTTGCATCTCTTGTGTCTTGACATTTAATGCCAAGTATTCTTTGTAGACATCACATGTGAAAGCTATTTACCTGGCTCTCCTCGTATGAATTAGTCCACAAAGTTTTACTACAGTATAGAAGAGTGCTAAAAACATAAGCTTAAAAAATGAGTCGCAGGCATAGACCAAGCCATATGGGATCCTGGTCTTCTCTGTGCCCTGACAAGGGCTGTTGGGATGTTATGTTGGGGCTTACAGCAAGTCTGTATTGTCTGTACCTTGTGGCCCAACATATATGACTCCTAACCAGTCGAGTCATCTTTAACTACATATTGTTGGGGCATTGGCTTTTTTCTTTAACCCTCTCCTCCCGTTCTGAACTGATACCCTGGAACCCGCACTGGCAAATATATGATCAAACTTAGTACCTGAAGCTGGTTCTCTCAACTTAAACCATCCATTTTTTTTTTCTGAATCTTTTTTAGTCTTCTATTCTGTTTTATAGTTTCATTTTGTGCATTAACACAAATTTCATACACTTTCATTGGTACATAAGTATGGTTGAACCTGTCAGCTCCATTAAGCCAAAGGTCCATACTTAATCTGTTTGCTGTCCAGAAAGTTAAGAGACTACAGTGTACAGTATATAATGTACCTGATAATTTATCAGAATGCAGGAAAAATTGCATGACCCTCTTAAGACATTGCTTCTTTGTTGATATGCAAATGTGTGTGTGGGTTGGTGGGTGTGTGTGTCTGGATAAATGTAGTGTGTGTAAATATATGTATATATGCTTATTCGTTGAACAGGTAGAAACCAAGGACGGATAGCTTTATGGAAGGAAGGAGACTGTTGGTCCCAATGTACAGTAGAGAAGTTGCATGAAGACTTCACAGAAAAACAACGCAAAGTATTCCATGTGTAAGAGTTTAAGAATACTGACAACATTCACAGCATTTAAAGCATTGCCTTATGTGTGCTGTCACTCTCACCCATGCTTTGTCTGTTGTCTCTCTCTCTCTCTCTCTCTCTCTCTCTCTCTCTCTCTCTCTCTCTCTCTCTCTCTCTCTCTCTCTCTCTCTCTCTCTCTCTCTCTCTTTTTCTCTCTCTCTTCTCTCTCTCCCCCTCTCTCTCTCTCTCTCTCTCTCTCTCTCTCTCTCTCTCTCTCTCTCTCTTTCTCCCCCTCCCCCTGTCTCTCTTACACTCACACTTTCTATCTATTTATCAGTCTGTCTTCTCACGCTGTCTGTCTATCTTCCTGTCTCTCTTTCTTTCTACTCATACTCCCATTCTCTGCTTGTCTCTCTTTTTCTTACTCATGGTTTCTGTGTCTCTGCCTCTCTTTTCTCTGTCAGCTACCTACTTTACTGCCATTGTGGCAAATGGCTCGTGTGCAGGCTGATGAAAGAAATGTCTATCCTAAAACAACACGTAAACCAGCACGGTCAGCGCATGCATGTCTGTCTTAAATCTACTTTGCAACCAATAGTAAAAAAGTTTGCTCCCAGAGGTGGCTCACAATCCTACCCCAACCAGCCGCAAGGGCTTTACAATCACCACTCACACCTGGGTCCGAACCAACAGCCTCCGATCCAAGCTCTTTTCTTTGCTTCTGCACTTATTAATTGGATTGCTGTTCTACTAAACGGCTGGGGCTAGCGCGAGTAGACAGACCATGTCACATAACCAGACAAACCCTTCACGAACCACCTCATTATCGCATAGCTAAATACATCAGTGAATACCAGTATAAATAAACACAATAGCCTATCTCTCACTAACACCGACTAACCTTCAAATTATCCTACTGTCAACTGAATGCGTCCTCACAAAACATTTGTCGCTAATTTAAGTCAAACATAGAACCTATTTAAAGGTCAGAAACGCCAACAAGTCTTGTCCACCAGCTTCCAGCACACTCCCCCAGAAATCGTCTCTCCGTCACTTTTGTTTAGTCTCTCCTCTCATTACCCAGTCTCTGAGAATGTCATGGACTCAGGAGTGATTGATTCATCCCTCGCCAGTCTTAGTGCAAAGTCCTCGTAGGCTATTAAAAACGCATTCAGGTCGCGGTCACCAAAGTGCTAGCCCGCTTATTATCATGCTTTTATTTTTTTAGCTCATTAGGAGGGCACTTAATCTTTTTTTTTTCCTCGAAAACAGAGCCCTGGAACCCCAGACTAGGCCAAAACAGAGCCTTGGAATCCAGACTAGGAAATGTATAGTTTAGTTGTTCTGAACTACGTAGCTGGCACAGTCATATGCCAATTTAACACCAAGGAGACTGTCTGTGCCCCTGAGCTCAACATCTGCACAGACAGCTGTCTTGAGTGTGATAGTAGTTATAGTCAGTGTTACAGCTCAGATTCTGTTGGGAGCAGGGTTTCTACCCTGAAAGTTGATGCACGTGTGGGTTTCGGGGCCCTATTATAGGGAAAACAAGAATAGACCCACCACCTACCCAAAAGCCTGTCGTAAGAGTCAACTAATTAGGAGCTTCCTTTGAAATCGAAGTGCATCTGCCTGAGAAGCAAGGAACCAACGGTCTGCACGCAAATAAGTCAGACACGGATGCACACGCAACACTCATGTTTTGGAACAGGACTGCAGTCCAGAACTTTTGCCGGAGTTTACAACCGTGAACATGAAGAAGAAGAAGATTTGATGCAAACCTGATGTATTCGGACGCATTCGATAAAAAGGTGGAAAAAGAAGGTTCATCTCCATGTAAGTGTCAAGTAGCCAGTTAAATTTATTGATATCCTAATTTAACTAATCTAACATCTATACAGATCTGCACATGGTCGCAGGTGCTACAATCTTCTGCAGGACATTAAAGAGGAAGTGTTTGACATGAGAGCTGATTCTAAACAGATAACTTTCATCAGTGAAGACAGTCTCAATCTGATGAATAACTCTGAGGATGCCAGCAGTCTCACCCTGATAAATAACTCTGAACATGTCAGTCTCAATCCGATGAGCAACCTGGAAGATGTCAATGACAGCATGATGGGTACACATACTGTGTCAGTACTTCCATTTTCTGTAGATAACCTGAGTGAACTTGTAGTAGTATCAGAAAGTCAAGGTGCCCTAAAGAATGATGAAGATCTTGGGAGACAAGGAGATTTTCAGTATGTGCCCAGTAGCTCCTACAGCTGCACAGATAGTGTTCAGGTATGTTGTTCTGAATTGCTGTCAACGTCACACCTGTTGGTTTATTTCAGAACTCATTAACCTTCTGTTTGAAGTATTCAAGAAGAAGATGTATTTTCTCTACTTTTATTTGTCCCCTCTTTGTTTGCTTCTTTCTTTGTTTCTTTCCTACTTTCTTTCTTTCTTTCTTTCTTTCTTTCTTTCTTTCTTTCTTTCTTTCTTTCTTTCTTTCTTTCTTTCTTTCTTTCTTTCTTTCTTTCTTTCTTTCTTTCTTTCTTTCTTTCTTTCTTTCTTGCTTTCTTTCTTTCTTTCTTTCTTTCTTTCTTTCATGTTCCTTTCCTTTCATCTTTTCCTTTTCCTCTTTTTTCCTCTTATTATATCACCTCTACGTTTTCTTCCAACAACTGCCATACGCATTTACTGGGTGCGCATATTTCTGGATTTTTCCCGGACTAATTGTTTGTTCACCATTTTTTCGAATAAGACAATGAAGGATTTTTCATTTGATTTGCACTGGCACAGGAATGGAGCAAGTATAGCAAAAACCCAATTGCCGTGAAGTTGAAACTTCAACTAAGACTAAGATTAAGACTTTTTCTTTCATTTCTGTCAGTCTGGTTTCTGTCTATTGTGCCTTTTAGCATCAGGTTTTTATTTTTTTTGTGGTACTTATTAGTTTTAGAGATCTGACTTATTTTATGCACACATGCCTCTAAAGCAAGTGCACTTCAACTTTGAAGAAAACCCCTAATTTGTTGACTTCGACATGTTTTTTAGAGAGGCAGTGATGGGTGTATGACCACCCCGGTGTGGCCTCAGAACCAACACGGAGATCAGAAAGTTTACTGCAGCTAAAAATATTTATTTGTAAATTGTATCATAGAACCCGCAATAGTTTTCTTAGTTGTAATCAGTAAATTAGATATGTGGTGTGGTTATAATTATGGCTCTCTTTGTTTCTTTTTATGAAAAGGTCAGGCAGCAACCACGACCCCGTCAGCGATTCTTCACTGACAATGAAGGTGACTTTGATACTGCTCTTTTACAAGGGCTGGATGATGGTGGGAAACACATGATAGTGTTGCCAAAAGTCCAGTCATGTGAACCTGCAGATCTGTCGTCCACAGATTCCAGTAACAAGCAACATTTTGTGACTGCAGCCTCAGTCACCTCTGTTTCAGAACCATCAACATCATCTGCCTCACATGATCAAAGATGTCTTTCAGAAAATGCCAATGACTTGGATGAACCTGACAGAGATAGCTGTGGAGATAACTGCAGTGTGAAACTAGACAAGCTGTCTGGCAGTCTCTATGATTTGTCAAAAGAAAAGGATTACCCATTTTTGCTTGGTGCTTTGGAAGCAGAGAAAGAACAAGTAAAGATTTGCTTTTATTTATATGACTGAATTTGTTAGAGGTTGTTACATGTGGCTGCACACAAAACCGACCCAAGACTTGCCTATGAATGGAACACAGCCTCTTAGACTAATAACGTCACTGTGACTTCTCTTGGGTTCAGACCGCCTAAGTAGTATATGATGTCATTTGTGTAGTATTTACGCTGTTCAGACTTAGGTCATTTTCTTGTGTAGCCATACGTGTCGGAGGTAATTGTAGTCCCTGTATTAGATACTGCTGATGTGGTGTAAAATAGTCACTTATAACTGGCTGTCTTGAGATAGGGTTGCCAGTTCCTGCATCATCAATCAACAGATCCTTTACTGAATATCGCTCTGATCACGGCACACCTGAAGTCTCTCTTTCTCTAGCAGTTCACCAGCTGTACAGGCTTTCATAGCCAGTGCATCTTCATTGTCTTGAATCCACTAATTTGAAGGTCCAAAATACCTCAGCTTTCAGGACAGGATGCTGTTTATGAGCCAATTCTCCTCGATGCTCAGATCATGTCGGATGTCTTTGTTTTTTTTTTAAATTATTGGTATAAGATGATTGTTATGATACAGTTTACAATAGTTATTGTGCAGAATATTTTATGCAATCATTTTTTGTCAGTTGAGACGAGAAGGAGAATTCTTGAAAGCTATATTAATACTATCTTGATATTCAGAAGTGTGTCATGGACAGTTGGTAGTTAAGAAAAAAAAATCCTTTGGAAGCTGCTTGATTTTATAGATGAACGATGAGAATACTCTGGACAGATAAAAAGAGTAATGCTGATGTATTGAAAGAAACTGACTCAACGAAGAGAACTGATTGCCCACATCAGAAAGAGACAGTCTGTATTCTTTCATCATGTGATGAGAAGGAGGACATTGGAGTGCATTGTGACAATAAGAAAGTTGGAGGGGAGGAGAGGCAGGAGACCGAGAGAAAAGGTGCTGGACAGTTTGACATCATGGCATGGAGGCTCATCTGGGTCAAGTACTTGAGACCGTTGTAGATAGACATGACTACCAATGCCACATGTCCTGGACAATAAGAAAGAAGTGTACATTAAAAGAAATACCTTTCAAGGAACACTTTGCACCATTGGTACATCAGGCATGCGGTGCTAAATCCATATTTTTATAGACCAGCTCCCTCTGGGTTCCAGGTTTATATATAGGGGTTGGGGGGACAAAAATAGGATCCCTGATGCCCACAAAGAGAAGTGTCATAAAGGTTGACTAACTAGGTTGTTTCCTTTGAAGTTGGAGTGCATCTGCCTGAGAGGCGAGGAATCAGTAGTAAGCAACAACTAAAACTGTTTCCTACTCCAAACTCAAGTTCTGAAACAAGAGCAAAATTCAATGAAAATTAAAACTTTGCACCAGAGTTTGCAGCCCATTAATGCACACAAAAAACAGAAGAAGAATATAGACCAGTTGGTCCTCAGTGGGTAATATGATAAGCATCGTTACTTTTCCTGGAAATGTCCCCACTTTAGATTGGATTGACCTAGGTCAGTTATGAAATACTCGATGCTCAATGTGGGTTTAGATGGAATATAATTTACCACACACACAAAAATCAGCATACCAATGAATACTCACAAACTGTTGTGCTCTAGGAAGTGCCTACTATGGAGACTCCAGTCAAGACTACTCAAATCAAGCGACCCAGGTTATCCAGCGACAGTTCGGACATTGATTTTCTAAATGGCTGTGGTGTTACTGACATCAAGAAGGTTGGCTGTGTCCCTGAGCTCAACGTCTGCACAGACAACTCCTATGGGTGTGATAGTATGTTTAGTCAGTGTTACAGCTCAGATTCTGTTGGGAGCAGGGTTTCTACCCTGACAGTTGCTGCAAGCCTGATGCACTCGGACACGTCAGATATAAAGGTGGAAACAGAAGATTCATCTCCATGTAAGTGTCAAGTTACCAATTGAATTTATTGTGTTTTTTCTTGATATCCTTCCCCAGATGACGTCACAGGACAGTTCAACATTTTAGAGGGTTTCCCAGCTTTCTGATGCTATTAACGACCCCAAAACATCTAGAACTGGCCCTAACCCCAACCTGCCTACGTTTCATGAAAGAGTGCAGCCTAAGTCCCATGACCGCATGCACCTAGGTCCCACAACTGCATGCAGATATCTACCACCCTCTGAAATATTAGACCGTCCTGTGACCCGTGGATTTTCTCTGTTTGGGGTAGGATATTAAGAAAGGACCAAATTTATTGATTGTAATTTATGTTGCAGCAATTGAATTGTGAAAATAGATGATATATAAAGTAGCCTGTAAAATGTAGTTAAAGAAAGTGCTTCATGAGCAGGGAAAAGAACCAAAATCCAGATATACCTAAAGGACCTAAAATTTGCACACTAGATGGTGTGAGGGCCCCTTGGGAGTGAGTGAACAGTGTGGAGACACAAACAGATCATTACGGTCTGAGGATAATGGCGCTGTGGGGAGTTACCAGAGGATCTGGCTGATGCTCAACACTCAAGGGAAAGGTGAGATGAATATACAATCAGACAGTTGCTGGTACCATCGGAATTTAAACTCTTCACTTGCTGCTGAAGATGGGGACGGAGCTCATCTGAGAGTGTCCTGAGCGCTATGATGTTGATTTTTTCAACATCATCATCATCAGTTTCTGAGGGGGGAAACATTGTCACGTTCAACCAGTATTCCCTAAGAGAGAGCTTTAGGTTATAATTGTGACTAGGTTGTGTGCGACATATAAAAGGGCTTAACACTTCACGCCACCAAAAGCCATGAAAAGTACTCCTGCAGTGTTGATGTGAACAAAGGAGACAGCCCCAAATACTGTCCTGACCGGCGACAGAGTTATTTACCGGTGAGCCAGTGGGTGACCTAGTCACCAAAGATGCTGTGGGGGGTCTTAATACCTGAGGTTTTAGAGCTGCAGGTTAGGATTTTATTTTTGTCCCTGACAAAAATATTCAACACCTTGCCGAGGATTCAAACCTGGGTCTCCTGAATGAGAGCCCAGAATTCTTAACCGTTCTGCTATCCCATCTCTTTAACGGAAATACTTCAGCCATATTAAATGCCATAGTAGTGTGGAGCAAACATAACTGGAGGGTAAAGTTCTTGGAAGAAGAGGCAGAGGACGACCAGCACAGTGATGGACATGTAAAATCAACACACCCCTCCCCCCCTCTTTCCCGGGGTGTGGAGGTTGAAGAGGTGGGAAAGTTGACAGCCCTGTAGCTCTGCTTCTGTTATGTTTCTAATGGGACTCACTGTGGTGCTCTGTTTTGTGGTAGTCTTGACACATGTCCAGACCATTTGATCTGGTATAATACTGACTACTTTTAGTTTTTTTTCAAGTAAAGATCCCTTTTCACACCTTTAGGCGCATCGGGCATATGGGAAGAGCATCCCATATTTTTACAGACCATTCGGCACTAGGTGGGTAATGTGGTCAGCATTACGGCGCCCGTCTTTACTTACCCTGTACAGCCATCCTGGTACCCATTTTAGGCTGGGTCGATCTGTGACGCCCCAGCCCATGAAATAATCCATGCAGCCAGCAGTGGGTTTTGGTCGCTATATGTTTGAATTATGAGTCGGACTCCCAGTGCCTAAGCCACCAACGCTGCGACTACTTTTAGGAATCAGTTATTGAAATCGTACTTCACCACTTACTCACTTCATCATGGCTTTGGTCATCATCAAACATTTTTCATTGTTTAAGCAAAGATTATTCACTCTTGTATTAATTTGTTTTAGTTAGGTCAAGCATCACAGATTGTATCATATGACTATATTTAAACTTACTATCATTACACTATACTTATATACAAATAGTCACCATTTTTAAGACATCCAAACATAACTGTGTGTGGGATAAACATTATGAACAGCATATTCATACCAACATTGAGCTACCAGTGCCAAACATGGACATTATCTGATGCCCACATATGCAAAATAACCACTTATAATCAGAAAAGCCGCCAACCTAACCATCAGAGAACGAGTGAATAATGACACTATCAGACAAGTTGTTGGAAATACACCTTAGACTAAATTTATCAAGAAACAGCAAATTAAGTAGTTTGACAGCCTCGCTAGAATGCAGCAACATCAAATACCATCACAAGTACTACATCTCAGAAGATCAGTTAAAAGAGCATGAAGATGACCATTAAAAAAATATGAATTGACAAGATTAAAGACACTTTTAAGATTTGCGGCATGACAGTAGCCAGTGCCAGTCAGTGTGCAATGGATTGCAAGTTATTCCTCCCCACAATGCCTAACGACAGAAGTAGTTTATCATGATCATTACACTGCCTATTAATGAACAGTTTAAGGGATCCTGTGGAAAACAATAAGGACTCATAACTGTGTAGTTGATATTATCATCACAATCATCATGTGACCTGCCAATAAGCTTAGGCAGTCATGATTTGCCTCCCCACCTGATCACTGGAATCATGGATAAATTCATTGTTCTTGTCCTGCTCCATCTATGTGGTCAAACCATTGAGGTATGTGTATCTTTGTCTTCTGCCTGCTCTTGTCCTGCTCCATCTATGCGGTCAAACCATTAAGGTATGTGTATCTTTGTCTTCTGCTTGCTCTTGTCCTGCTCCATCTATGTGGTCAAACCATTGAGGTATGTGTATCTTTGTCTTCTGCTTGCTCTTGTCCTGCTCTATTCATGTGGTCAAGCCATTGAGGTATGTGTATCTTTGTCTTCTGTTTGCTCTTGTCCTGCTCTATTCATGTGGTCAAACCATTGAGGTATGTGTATCTTTGTCTTATGTTCGCTCTTGTCCTGCTCCATCTATGTGGTCAAACCATTGAGGTATGTGTATCTTTGTCTTCTGCTTGCTCTTGTCCTGCTCCATCTATGTGGTCAAACCATTGAGGTATGTGTATCTTTGTCTTCTGCTTGCTCTTGTCCTGCTCTATTCATGTGGTCAAACCATTGAAGTATGTATATCTTTGTCTTCTGCTTGCTCTTGTCCTGCTCTATTCATGTGGTCAAACCATTGAGGTATGTGTATCTTTGTCTTCTGCTTGCTCTTGTCCTGCTCCATCTACGTGGTCAAACCATTGAGGTATGTCTATCTTTGTCTTCTGCTTGCTCTTGTCCTGCCTTATTCATGTGGTCAAACCATTGAGGTATGTGTATCTTTGTCTTCTGCTTGCTCTTGTCCTGCTCCATCTATGTGGTCAAACCATTGAGGTATGTCTATCTTTGTCTTCTGCTTACTCTTGTCCTGCTCCATCTATGTGGTCAAACCATTGAGGTATGTGTATCTTTGTCTTCTGCTTGCTTTTCCCACCAGTCTTATCAGATGTCACCAAATTCTTGAGCCTTCTACTTCTCATCATCATCAGTCCGCAAGACCTATACAGAACCTCACTGTCTTCACGGTATCCCAGACAGTCTCTTTCTCTAGCCAGTTTTCTAACCTATGTGCTTTCATAGCCAGTATATCCTCAGTGTCTTGTGTCCACCTTTGCAGAGGTCTGCCTCTGTCTCATTTTCCAGAACCTGCACCCTCCATCTCCGCTTTGTCCAGGCCCTCGTGACATTTAACATGGCCAAAGTTTTTGGGAAGGATTTTGTTTGTGAGCGAATTCTCATCAATGTTCAGATCATATAGGGTGTCTGTGTTTTTCTTCGTCTTGGTCCAAATTACTATAAGAATTGTTCTGTAGCATTTCAGTTCAGAAAGTTCGAAAAAAAATTTTCTTCAAAGATTAATGGTCAGTGACTCACATCCATAAGTCCACATCCACTAGAATAATGCATGATCTCAGAATTTTTTCTTTAACTCGATTACAGGTGCCGGGCCATAGGCTCTTCATCTCCTCGTAACATGTCCAAAAATAATGTGTGTAACCAGTTTACAGATAAAAAACAGCAGACATTAAATAATGAAACAAATTTTTCATTTATTCTGACAGACATTAACAATGATCCTATGTTAAGTTCACTCAATACACCAAATTTTGATGCTGACATGTCGCTGTTCTTATCGACAACATCTGATGGAGTTACTAAACGACCACCAAAATTTGGGTCTGCCAGGAAGAAGGTAGTCATCTGTTTCAATGTCTGTCATTTAGACGATTTAATTTCTTTTACATTTTTGTTGCTAAGCATCTAAATATGTTGCCTTGTGTTTATTTCTTCTTTTTCTTCTTCTCTAGCCCTGTTCTGCCTTTCAGCATCCGGTGCAAGCCATGGTATGTGCTATATAGATGCTAGTATTTACGGCGTGGAATATTTCATCTACCCATTACTTGCATGGTCGCGACCTCTACTCTGCTTCAATTATGTCAGAGCAACAGGGCTGTCTATGGTACACAATCTGTTGGTAGTCTTGACATATGTTCAAACTATACACAATCTGGTGGTAGTCTTGACATATGTTCAAACTATACACAATCTGGTGGTAGTCTTGACATATGTTCAAACTATACACAATCTGTTGGTAGTTTTGACATATGTTCAAACTATACACAATCTGTTGGTAGTCTTGACATATGTTCAAACTATACACAATCTAGTGGTAGTCTTGACATATGTTCAAACTATACACAATCTAGTGGTAGTCTTGACATATGTTCAAACTATACACAATCTGTTGTTAGTCTTGACATATGTTCAAACTATACACAATCTAGTGGTAGTCTTGACATATGTTCAAACTATACACAATCTAGTGGTAGTCTTGACATATGTTCAAACTATACACAATCTGGTGGTAGTCTTGACATATGTTCAAACTATACACAATCTAGTGGTAGTCTTGACATATGTTCAAACTATACACAATCTGGTGGTAGTCTTGACATATGTTCAAACTATACACAATCTGTTGGTAGTCTTGACATATGTTCAAACTATACACAATCTGTTGGTAGTCTTGACATATGTTCAAACTATATACAATCTGTTGTTAGTCTTGACATATGTTCAAACTATACACAATCTGTTGGTAGTCTTGACATATGTTCAAACTATACACAATCTGTTGTTAGTCTTGACATATGTTCAAACTATACACAATCTGTTGGTAGTCTTGACATATGTTCAAACTATACACAATCTGCACAATCTGTTGTTAGTCTTGACATATGTTCAAACTATACACAATCTAGTGGTAGTCTTGACATATGTTCAAACTATACACAATCTAGTGGTAGTCTTGACATATGTTCAGACTATACACAATCTGTTGTTAGTCTTGACATATGTTCAAACTATACACAATCTAGTGGTAGTCTTGACATATGTTCAAACTATACACAATCTGTTGTTAGTCTTGACATATGTTCAAACTATACACAATCTGTTGGTAGTCTTGACATATGTTCAAACTATACACAATCTGCACAATCTGTTGTTAGTCTTGACATATGTTCAAACTATACACAATCTAGTGGTAGTCTTGACATATGTTCAAACTATTCACAATCTAGTGGTAGTCTTGACATATGTTCAGACTATACACAATCTGTTGTTAGTCTTGACATATGTTCAAACTATACACAATCTAGTGGTAGTCTTGACATATGTTCAAACTATACACAATCTAGTGGTAGTCTTGACATATGTTCAAACTATACACAATCTGTTGTTAGTCTTGACATATGTTCAAACTATACACAATCTGTTGTTAGTCTTGACATATGTTCAAACTATACACAATCTGTTGTTAGTCTTGACATATGTTCAAAATATTTGATCTGTTATGTGATGTATTTAAGTACAGGCTGCATCCCATCTTCTTTCCTGATATCGTCATTTCTAATCCTGTCTCTTCAAGTTACATTTAGGATTTGTCGTAGACATTTTATTTCTGGGGGTTTTTTTTTTTTTTAGTTTTCATTTTTTCTGTATTTTCTTGTTGATTTTATTTTATTTTTCTGTGTTTTCTTCTGTGTTTTTAAAATGTGGAGGTTGGTTGCAATGTAGACACTCCTGTCTTTGGTAATTTGACGTGTTGAGACCCAGACCCCCCACCAGAGCAACCCTGATGTTTGGAAAGAGGCAAGGGCTTAAAGACAACTTATAGGAGACATCAGAAAGAGACAGTCATCATGTTTTTTTAGTCATGTTATGAAAAGAAGGAAACAGAAACACGTTGTGGCCACTGGAAAGATCTGTGGAAGAACAAGGGGAGAAGATTCTTGCCAGTCTTCTGTCATGGCATGGAGGGGAGACAACACAACAACTGAAACATGCTGTTGAGCATTGCACATTGTAGAGAGGCATGGTCGTGCACACTAGTCATCACGGCACTTGATGCTGATGATGATGATTCACCACAAAGTGTCTAAACATGTGCTGGTATTCACAACACAGTGATGATTACAGTAGCATTGAAGAAAACTGCCTAAAGAAAGGTGTCGGTACTGTGTACTGTTGTGTACAACTGGAGGAAATAGGCCATTGTGAGTCCCCAATCTGTTTTCTACATTAAAGATTTTGTATTCTAGATATTTAATAGTAAACTGCTTGAAAATAGTTGAATTCTTTAAATATAAACTGAAAGAATTATAAAGTTTCAGATTTAATAACAGTGCATAGAATGTACTCTTTCCTGTGCGTTACAAGGGCTCAAAAGGAAATTAACAGTAGAACTAACATACTGTCTTCTTTTTTTTCCCTACTTCTGATGTCATAAAGCATCACAGGTTACGGGTATATATGTCTGCAGTGATGGTGGGGTTGCATGTTTTTATGTAAAAAAATTGGAGGCTGGGAGCAGAAAGGGAAAGAACAGAATCACTGCAGTTATTTCCTGTGTGGGTTCTAGGACCCTATTATATGGAAAACAAAAATAGACCCACTGCCAACCTAAAAGCATGTGGTAAGAGTCGACTAATTGGAAGCTTTCTTCAAAGTCGAAGTGCATCTGCCTGAGAGGCAAGGAACCAGCAGTCTGCGTACAAATTAGTCAGATCTGTCAAACGGATGCACACACAACACTTAGGTTCTGGAACAGGACTGCAGTCCAGAAGTGGACGAACAACCAGACCTTTCTGCCGGAGTTTACAGCTGGTGATCACGAAGAAGAAGAAGACTGTAGTTATATTGGCAACCTCTAGCATACACATCACAGAATACACAGTAGTGTTTGTGTCATTTTCAATAAATAACACCATGTTCAACCCTCAGGGTAAAACAAACAAACCTAAAGAAGATGACAGAAAATAATAATTTTGAGCAAATAGAAGGCTTCTTCTTCTTTTCATTGTTCGACAGCTGTAAACTCTGGCGGAAAGTTCTGGTTGTTCGTCCACTTTTGGACTTTGGTCTTGTTCCAAAACCTGTTTTGTGGAACATCTGTTTAACAGATCTGGCTTATTTGTATGCAGACTGTTGGTTCTTTGCCTCTCGGGCAGTGCTCTCTAACTTCAAGAAAACTCCCTAATTAATTGACTTTTACAACCTGCTTTTTTTTATGGAGGAGGTGGTTCTTTTCTTTTCCCCAAAAAAATAGAGTATCTGAATCCACACGGGGAAGTTGATTAAATAATTTGTAATCTTCAAAGGTCACATATAATGAAATTCAAAACAAATGTTTCCGGTTGCGAATTTACATCAGGGCATAAACAATATGTGGCGCAATTTATTTCCTGGCATATTTTTCTAAGACTTTCTTCAGTGAGTTGTGCATTGTAACAAGAGGCACAGTAATCTGTGTATTTATCTTGAAGTGATTCATGTTTTGTGCTCCATCATATGTTAATATAATAAGCTCTGTAAATTGCACCAGACAAGATGAGCCAAAAATGCTAAACAGTAAATTGAATAAATATATTGCGTGAGTCTCAGTATATGTAGAGATAAGTAGTGTTACGGCTGTGAATCGTGGACAGTTACTAAACATCCTAAACAGCTTCTTGAATCCTCCGAGATGTGGTTTTACAGAAGAATCCTTAGAATTACTTGGATAGCCAGAAAGAACAATCCAGATCATTTGAAAGATGTGAGGGCTTAAAGATAACTGATCACAAACATCAGAAAGAGATGGTTTTTTTGTTTTTTTGGTGTGGTCATGTTATGAGAAGAAGAAAACTGGAACTTGTTGTTACCACTGGAAATGTCTGTAGTAAAAGAAACAGAGGAAAACAACAGTAGATGATGATTCTTGACAGTGTTTTGTCATGGTATGGAGGGATGTCAACACAGGAACTGATAAATGCTGTTGAAGATTGCAGATTGTGATTAGACATAATCCTCCATGCCTGTGGGTCAGTAATTTGATGATGATAAGCTGTGTAGTGTGTAACTGACAAGATGCATGTAATAAATTGTTTCTATCATCATTATATAAAGAAGTATTTTACCTCACAAATCAAGCCTAAGTTTGAATCAAATTACTTGTGTATCCTTGACCGCATCTGTGGCTTAGACAATGCAAACGCGCTTCATAATGCTAGGGTGCCAGGTTCGATCCCAGCTGCGGACGATTTTTCTTTCGTTGGTTTCAACAATGGCACCAAAAGCTGACCATTCAGCAAGCAGTGGCAAATTACTGAACATAAAATGCGCCTAGAAAAACCACAACAGCTAAAAAATTACTGGTGTTGGTTCTGCATTGTCCTGTAAAGGATACGCAACTAACTATATCTTTGCCGAACCATCCCCAGCAATTTGCAACTGTTGTAGTTTTTCTAGGCATTTGTAAACATAGTTTTACTTAGTCTGTATATTTACATTTTCTTCCCAGTCTGTCTATTTACATTTTCTGTCTACATTTTCTTCCCAGTCTGTTTATTTGCATTTTCCTGCCAGTCGGTATATTTACATTTTCTCCCCCAGCTAAACTTCAACAGTCCATCATATTCTGGGTGGCCCCATACCTCTCCAGGGTTAGTGCACCCTGACAGGGCAGTTCCGGCGTTCCCAGTGTTAACAGGATTTACTCCAGTCAAGCTGCCAGATGAGCTGACCAGAATTTCTGAGGCTTCTTCAGAATACTTGACTTCTCCTTGGAAACCAGTGAACTCGCCCTTCAACTGTAGAACAATGGCACAGGTAAATTTCAGCTGTTTATAAGTACAAGAAATATGGCCAAGTGAAGGATAGTTTTCAGATAAAAAAATCTGATTATAAAACAGAGAAAGTTTTTACGTTGGCAACTTGTCTGGTCTTTGAACAACAGTCTTAACACTTTGAGTCCCAGGGGGTTTAGCATCACAGGCTCAGAGGTTGTAAAGAGAGTCATAAAATCAGCACATTGTGCGTTCATTGGGCTTCTAGGTAGGAACCTATGAACGTATGATGTGTTCCTTGGGACTCAGGAAGTTGAGCCAAGCTGAAAGGAAACACATCCTGCATTTTTATGGCCATGCCCTCAAAATGGATAAGTCAAGACGTCTCCATCAAGCCCTCATATGGACACCGGAAGGGATGAGAAAGCTGGGAAGACCAAGAGAGACTGCGTAGAACCATCATCAGGGGCGGGTTAATGATGGGCATAACAAACATCCAAGAGCTAAAACAGGTGACAGCGAACCGCCAGACATGGAGAGCTATGACCTCTGCCCTATGCGTCACCCTAGGCTCATGAGGAAAGACTAACTAAAGGATACTTTTGACACCATACTGATACATGATAAAGCAGACGTGGTTAGGGCTTTGTGGAAGAACGTGTACAAGTCGCAGCTGCAAATAAATCACCACAGTCTGTTGAGAGCGATGCAGCGGGGGGTGACAAAAGGATATGGTCGATACTTGACGCTCAGAGGAAAGGAAAGGCGAACCTATAATCAGAATGTTGTTAGCACCATTGATATTGCAACTCTGCGCTGGCTGCTGAAGATGGGGACAGATTGCTTATGGGAATGCCCCAACCGCTGTGATGTCTGTTCTTGAATAAACTCAACTACTTTTAACACCAGTGGCACATCATGCCACTGGTGTATGGTTCATATTTGTAGTTAGTCAGTTTGTCGACGGATTAATCTTACTGCACATTCAGTCCATAAGTGCTCCGATCTCCTCGTCAGTAAATTTTGCCGCATGTAGCGGCAGATGGTACCAGTTCTGTGTTGATTTCTTGTTCTTCTTTGGCTTCCTGCCTAGTGCTCTGTGTGGCCACACCTCTGTTGACTTGCTGTTCTTGCAGTCTGGTCATTGCAGATTCTGTCACTTGGTTCTTGCAAAAGTCTTTGTTTTATAGAACCATCAGTACTCTTTGGGTGATGTGGTCAGCCACCAAATTGAATCCATGATATTAGAATGATTGCAGAGGATAGGTTTTGAGATTTGAGCAACGGATCAACATCATGGCACAGGGGTGTAACCCATAAGTGCTCCGTTCTTCTTCTAACTCAAGCCTGAGTCCAAAGAAGCTCAGCACAGTGCACAGGCTCTGTAGCACTGGCAAGGATCCAGTAGATTTTTAACTCCAAATTTTGCCCGGGCATCGCCGTTGGGCTACTCTTTTTTAATTTTTAACTGCCAAGGGATTTTTTTACGGGCGCACAATGCACACGGGTGTCCGATCTAACTACCCAGAGACCAGGGAGTATTAAAGTCCAAGTCCATGTAAAAAAATCCCAGTCTTTACCAGGGATTGAACCCGCAACCCCTAGCACTCGAGGCGGAAACCATGCCTCGAGACCACACAGCCCCCTTGCAAAGGATAAAACACAGCAAAGGGGGAGCTTCATGCAACACATAACAGCACATCAGGACGATAATCATTTTGCTTTTCGGAGACTAGAGATACCGGAAGGGAAAAACAACAGGGAAGACAAAGAGACCCTGAGTAGAACCATCATCAAGGAAGGCTCAGCTGTGGGCCCAATGACATCTAAAACCTAAAACAGGTGGCCACAAACAGCTAGACGTGGAGAGCTATGACCTCTGCCCTATGCGCCACTCTAGGCTCAAGAGGAAAGACTAGAGATAGTGCCCCAATATTGTCAGAGACCGGGACCTGTTCAGTGTTTCGGTAGACACATTTTATGTTTATTGTTTGTCATATACTCCATACGATAGTGTTATATTGCGCTGGGAGGAAGCATAGGACACAACAGCCAATAGCCATGGCGAATGTGACTAGCAAGACCCATGTTTAGTATGTTTCTTCTCAGAAGCTCAGCACTCATCCTTTCTGAAGAAGTTCCTCCTCTCCACAACACAAAGCCTGGGCAGTAATGTAAAGACCATTTGTTGCCCATGCATCATGATCTCTCTCTCTCTCTCTCTCTTGACCTACCTTGTTTACTCCAAAGGAAAGGTAACACCAATATGATGGGAACAAAGCAGGCTGCAGAAGCTGCTGAATCAGAAGAGCAGTGCTCTGTCTGCCTGTTGGAGCTTCTTTCCTAGACCAGCTGCCAGCCAAGTCTAAGGGCCTGGTCTGCCCTGCCATAAAAAAAGCTTTTAGGTTGCATTTCCTACTAGGATAAGGCTGGTAGTCTCCCCCAGTGTACTCCTCTGCCTAAAGCAGTTGGCACAATATGGGATGTCAAGTTTGGTATACGCTGTCCAACATTCAGCGTTAATAGAAGACAGGTGGTACTAGCTACTGTTATATGGCAGCTCAGTCATATTTGACTAGGACCTGACTGATAAAGAAAAAAAGATGCTCTCAAGAGGAAATGACCAGAGATCTTGAAGACACTTAGTATACATAAGAAAGGTTAAGAGGAACATGACATCTGATTACAACTGGCACCATAAGTTTTGGAGAGAATTCTGCACTGTCGCTGTCTTCTAAAAATGGGGAAAGTTTTTTTATTTTTTTTATTGGTAGTATCCAGATATCTGTTCTTAACTATTAACTCTGGTGGCGATTGTTGGCTTTGGTGCCTGGAGCAACTGAAATACACATTCACTGTGTATTCACTACATATTTCTGGATTGTTCCGGAACTAGTCGTTTCTTCACCAGTTTTTCATATGCGGCAGTGAGGGACATTTAATTTGATTCGCACTGGCACAGGAACAGAGCAAGTATAGGAAAACCTGACTGCGGTGATGTTGAAACCTCGACTAACTAACTAAATAATCAATCTATTAACTGTTACGTAAATATTGTTTTTTGCATCCTCATTATAAACTGAAGCATTATATCCATAAAATATTCATACGTTATTCACCTGAATTCACTTCTTGCTTGTTAACCCCTTTTTTTGTGAATTATTGTGTTTTGCTTGGTTTTTTCCAGAGCTACATAAGCAGCAGTACATTAGTTGATCTAGAAGACAACTTATTTTGTATGGAAACTCTGGATGAATCGGACTTTGAAGATAGTTTCAGCAGTGAAATGTAAGAATTTTGGCACTTAATTAACAGGCTTTTTTTTTTAAACAAAACTTTGAATTTATATTTTTAATGCAAAATAAGGCTTCTTGAATAACCAAAGGACAGAAGAAAGATCTGCTGTGAGTCCTATCAACATTCCCCACCGACGCAGACAGCAGGATTTTTTTAATTATTAAATCTATCTGTAGAACATGTAGAGCATTCATCTTTCCCATTGCAGCGTATGCCTGTGAGACCTGGACACTCTCTAAACAAGTTGAACCGCGCTTCAATGCCTTTGAATACATATGCTATAGTCGGGTTCTAGGCATATCATGGGTAAAGAAAAGAACAAATGCATCCATACTTCAAGAACTGAATCTTGAAGAAGGTTGGCTACTAAAGACGATAAAACACAAAAATTGAAATGTTTTGGTCACTTTAAATGTCACGAAAGTTTGGAGAGAACAATAATGGAGGGGTAAATGCCTGGAAAGAGAGAAAGAGGAAGGCCAAAGAGAAGGTGGGTGCAGGATGTGGCGGATGATCTCCAGATGGGTGTATCGGACGTGGGACATCTTGCTTGTGATTGACAAGTTCTCTCGAAGGTTGTTATGGAAGCATGGTTCTGCAAAAGACATGCTACTGACAGACTGATCTGTAGAACTTCAGAACAAAACTGTTTTAGACTGTTCAGCAGGGTCTTGATCCTGTTGGATTTGCATTGAAAAAATAGTTCTTTAACTTCCTGATTGTCAAACTTGTAGGCTGCAGTCTTGGAGTGGATGGGGGGGGGGGGTCTATTTGTGAATGGTGACTGTCTCTGGACTCAGCTTGTCCAGAAGTGGACGAACAACCAGAATTTTCCGCAGGAGTTTTCAGCTGGTGAAGAAGAAGAAGACTTCTGTCACCATCTGTTTTTTACATGTCCAAGATCAGTGAAACTCAACAACACAACAAAAAATGGTGCTGAAACCTGTCTGTATAAGATAAATGCATTAACTTGTTTTTTGAGTCTGAAATTACAAATGCATTATTTACGACCTATGTCTTTCTTTACTTGTCATTGGGGTTTTTTTTTTTTTTTAAATAATGTTGATATTCTTGTATTAGCTAGCCCTTCTTGTCCTTGTTCTCAGAACTCCGGGTCCTTCACAGAATGCATACAATATTCTGCAGCCAGAGGAGTTGCTGAAGACAAAAGAGTAAGTTTCTGCTAGTTAAAATTATGCAAGTTAATTGATAATGATTGGCGTTGTTTTCTAGAGAGAAAGTACACATTTATTATCAAAGGAGTGGAATTGACTATTTCACTATTACACTGTCATCTAGTGCACTTGTCATGGATAGTCAATGAAACTAGTTGTTATGATTTCTACGTTCCTGATCAGTTTGACTTGGTATGAAAAGGCAAAGTGGCATTGTCATTCTATGTTTTCATGTGTACAGCTCTATTTCATAAAGATTAGTGAACATGTTTCACCATTCTAAACATACCAGAGTTCAGTTGCCATTTCAGGCATTTTATAAAAAGATCTTTGTGACTTTTTAACCATGGTATGGTAGTCATCATACGGATGTGAGTCGTGGACTATCTACTAGTTCTTATGAAAGAAAATAGGGGCTTTTGAGCTGAAATGCTATAGAAAGATTCTCAAAATACTGTGGACAAAGAAGAGAAGAAAAACTGAAATTTTAACAGATCTAAACATTAGGGAGGATTGGCTAATAAACAGCATTTTTGTCTCAGAAGCTGAAATATTTTGGTTATATCAAACGCTATGGTGGATTGGAAAAATTAATAGCAGAAAGCATGGTACCAGGAAGGAGGGGTAGGGGCCAGTCAACATGAAGATGCTATATGTTGATGATAATAGTCATATGGAGGAAGAGATTCATATGGATGAATCTGACCATATAATATTCCCAACAACAGCAGTAGGTGCATGTACGCTGCAGAAAACCTTGGAGACAGCACATGTTCACATAGCATTTAGGAATAGTTCTACTCATTGCATGGTGAACTTGACTGCTTCTTCATATCCTGGGATGTCAGTATAGGAAGGATTGACGTCTTTCCATCTTTCCAGACAATAATGTAATATTGTGCTGTAAGGAGGCAGGGGACTCACAGCTCATGGGGATGGCAAATGTGACCAGCAAGACCCGCCCACTCAGTCGGGCATGAGTTCCCACTGTCATCTGTCCATCGCAGTGAACTCCGGTTCATGTCTTGGTCAACTAGGTGTAGACATGAAATATTCACTACTAATGGCAAGTCAGAAAAGTGACTCTGCAGGGAAATCATAAGTTTTGCAGCTTCTTGGGGCAACAGTGTTAAGATAAATTTTTTTTTTTTTTTTTGTAAATGTCTGTGCAGGTCTCTTGTACCAGATGAGCCAAGCAACAGAATGAAACCTCCATGTCGCAGAAGATTGGAAGGGTTAGTAAGGATCATTCTTGTCTTCTTGGTTGTTTGTTGTCTGAACCTTTTGACAATGACAGTATTATAGAGATCATGTGTTATCCAAGTAGCATGATCTCTCTCTCTTTCTCTCTCTCTCTCTCTCTCTCTCTCTCTCTCTCTCTCTCTCTCTCTCTCTCTCCCTCCCTCCCTCTCTCTCTCCTCTCTCTCTCCCTCCCTCTCCCTCTCTCTCTCTCCACTCTCTCTCTTCTCCCCCCCCCCCCTTCCTTTCACCACGGCCTGCTTTGTTAACTCCAAAATGATGCTAAATTTAGTTTAATTAGTTCTCAAGAGCTATATGAATTCAATCCTGATATACAGACGTCAATCACTGACAGTTAGAGGATTAGTGAAAAATAGTTTGAAGCGTTGGAGATGCGGTTATAAATGAATGAAAGTAACATGGACAGAAAAAAATAGTAATGAAGATGTCTTGAGAGAAACTAACTCACAAAGAGAACTGATTGGCCACATCGGAAAAAGACAGTCTACATTCTTTGGTCATGTCGGAGGAGAAATAGTAATTACCTTAAGACGGGAATGCAGGGAATGAGGAACAGGATGGGCAACCACTGAGGTTCAGCAGCTGATAGAGGACAACTCCAGGTCAAGAGATTTGATTCTAGCCTAGGCCTTGTAGGTGTGTCTGGCAGATAGGTTGGCTGGTCTGGCTCCACTGGGGAATTAGGAAAGGGGGGGGGGGGGGGGAACGGGTTGGTGAAGTACTGCAACTTCACAAGTATAGATGATCTCTCACATGTAAGGGTGAGGTACTAAGGAAAATGGAAGGTATTGGAAATGCACACCTGAAGAGAATGTTAAAGGGGGAAGTGTTTGTGGGCTCTAGGCACCACTCGAGACTCAAGGCTAAAGGCAAGATGAGTAGTTAACCAGATGACAGTGGGTTTCATCAGCATGGAGACTCTTTGCTGTTTGTTGAGAAGGGAGACAGAGCTATTGTGGGTTTGTCCTGAATTCTCTGATGTCGAATCTTTACCCAGATAAACCCAAATGTGGTGAAACCTGGAGTACATGATGATGGTGGGAAAAATGGAGAGGAAGAGAGGTAGAGGGTGAGCGAGAGGGAGGAAGCTGGACAGTTTGATATAATGACAAAGAAGATTATCTATGTCAGAATTGATTGAAAGTACAGGAGACATAAGGTTGTGGATGGAAATGACTGCCATCGTCACACTGCACAAACTATGAGAAAAACAATTATCACAATAAAAGTAGTCCAGTAAGAAATGCTGCTGTCAGGATGTGAATTATTAGGCCTTCACATAGTCTAGGTTGTAACGTATGAGCTGGTATGACCAGTTCCATTCTTCCTCACTGTTTCTTCCTGAAAAGCGGTGCACAATTTAATGAAGCTGGGTAGACCTCAGAACCATACTGGTCACACACTAATCCAAGCCATATCTGGGGATGATACACAAACCATTGCCTCAGTGGACGGGCTCACATCACTAATCACTGCTAATCTAGTGTCGGACTATATGTGTTGGCACTTCTGCCGGCTGCCTTATGTATTTAATGCATGTGTATGCTCCTAGAATTGCTGAGACTGCAGTCTGGGTCAATTTTTTATCTCACAGGACAATAATGAATGTTCTTTGAGGAGCAACTATTGTGTGACTCGTTTTCTATGAAGTTGAACCTGCTACTACCTGATTGCTTGATTAATCACCATGCTCGCTAATCACCATACATGATAATCAATAACCATGCTGCCTTCCACTTCCGGAACCCCTACTTTGGGGAGGGGTGCAAAGACCTACTGCCCTCTTATAAAGTATGTTGTAATAGGCAACAAGTTATGGGTTTGCTGAAATTAGGCAGGCCAGAAGGCACAGTTGTCACAGTTTTGCTGTAAACGACAAAACAACATGCCAGCCACGTTTTTAAGCGCAAAAACAGAAGAAGAAGAAGAAGAAAATAAACTTCACCATAAATACCTGTATGTGTGTCATCCTTTACCTGTCATTGAACAGAGTGTTAGTGATAACTACCCATGTTTGTGTCATCTTTCACCTGTCAGTGAAGAGAGTGCTAGTGATAACTACCCATGTTTGTATCATCCTTCACCTGTCAATGAAGAGAGTGCTAGTGATAACTACCCATGTTTGTTTCATCCTTCACCTGTCAATGAAGAGAGTGCTAGTGATAACTACCCATATTTGTATCATCCTTCACCTGTCAATGAACATAGTGCTAGTGATAACTACCCATGTTTGTATCATCCTTCACCTGTCAGGGAACAGAGTGCTAGTGATAACTACCCATATTTGTATCATCCTTCACCTGTCAGGGAACAGAGTGCTAGTGATAACTACCCATATTTGTATCATCCTTCACCTGTCAGGGAACAGAGTGCTAGTGATAACTACCCATGTTTGTATCATCCTTCGCCTGTCAGGGAACAGAGTGTTAGTGATAACTACCCATGTTTGTATCATCCTTCGCCTGTCAGGGATCAGAGTGCTAGTGACAGCAATACTTTTATATTTTGTGCCACAGATTTTACGATCGGTCAGTGGCGTCGTTGAGAGATTTCATCAACCTGGCAGATGAGAGTCATGTAGTGCCTCAGCTGGACATGACATTGTGGTCATCTGTGACACCTGATTTTCACAGTCAGCTGGACAACAGAGCAGAAGTAGATGTTGAGGAGAAATTAATCTGCTTAGAAACTGTTGATTCTCTAGAACTGGACACTGTGGATAGTTTAGTACATTAGTACTGTATTGTTAAATAGTAGCAAAAGCTATATTGATAGTTAGTCTACAGATTATAATCATCACGTATTAAATTATCCAGTTCATAAGTTGACGAATCCCCACTTCAGAATCTCCCTCAGCATGTAGTGGCCTGCGACACCAGTTCTGTGATGGTTAACTATTTTATTTTGGGCCCCTGTGTAGCACTCTTGCATAAAAATTAAAAAATCAACAGTTGAAGATATAACCTCTATTTGATTCAAAGTAAGCGCCTTGTACATTGATGCAGCAAGTAGCACGATCTAACAAACACTGGAATGACCTCTGTAGTTCTTCTGTTGTTATGGCCCTTAAAGTCGATGTTATGACCCTTTGGATGTTATCAGTATCGTCAGAGAAGCTTCATTTCAATGGTAACTTTAATTTTGGGAATATAAAATAATCACAGGGAGTTAAATCTAGGGAGTATGGTGGATAGTTGAGAACACGCACTTGTTTTGGGGCCAAAAATTCCTGTACAATTAAAGCCTTGTTTACCTCATCGTTCCACCAGTGAGGTTGTTCCTAGCTTCCTCATGCTGTGTTGATTCCTGTGCTTCAGACACCTTATTCTGCCCACTACATCCTGCCTTGTGCTGTTGTATTTAAAGGTCTTCACTTTTTGTCTGTGACCCTTAGATCTGCCTTTCTTCACCACTATGCTGCAGGAATGGTGATCACTGCCCTGGTATGTCCCTGGACACCCCATTTGCACAGTGTACTTAGTGGTGGGGAAACCAGTGCCAGGTCGAAAGCTTTGCCCTCATCTCCTGGTCGGCTTGCAATTCTTGTGACACAGCCACTGTTGTTGCATACAAGGTCGATAGTTTCCTGAGCATCCTCGAGCTCCTCCTCTTATGTGTTAGAAGAAAAGTTTCCCCATGTTCACCGTTAGAAGAAAAGTTTCCCCAAGTTCACCGTTAGAAGAAAAGTTTCCCCATGTTCACCGTTAGAAGAAAAGTTTCCCCAAGTTCACCCTTTCGTGTTAAAATCACCTCAGAAAATGATGTTTTCCTCAACAACAAAAACTGTAATCTCTGAGGCACTGCCATTTCTGAGAGTTCACTTTCACGTTACAGGCGTACAAATTGATCAACACAAAAGAATGCTCCGGCAGAGCTTTTATTTCCTATATTTGTAGTGCGTCACTGTCCCAACTAGACATGTCCATCTCTGTCGCAACAATAGTGTCGCATACAAGGATGGCCATTCCCAGGTGTCACCTGTTGTAGAAACAGTGGAAATCAGCCACATTCAGCGTATCATCGCCTATCTGCGTCTCTTGAAAGGTTATGATGTCGGCACTGTAGATAAGCTTTTCAGTGACAGGCCCACGTTGCTTTACGCTCTCACAGTTCCAGTATATAATTTGTGTACAGTTAAGGCTCAGACGAACGCATTTAAGCCTTCTTCTTCATGCTCCATGACGTTTACCCTTCCTTTGACGTCTCCCTCTCTTGTGCCTTTGTTTCTTAACCTTAGCATTTTCGCTACACACTTGCTTGTGAATTTGAAAAAACCACCACACGCTAACGAAAACAACTCGAAAAGGTTTCAGTTTAGATGCCGAAAACTCTGTAGCACTGGCAAAAATCTTGACGAAGTTGTCTTCCTGGCCTACATTCTGGCACAATTAGCTACATCCGAGCGAAGGAATTCTATCGTTTGAGATGAAAATAATCCATGTGAGAAAAACCGTACACATGGCGTCACCATGTTTGCTTCTTGTTCATGTTCACCCGCTGTAAACTCCAGCAGAAAGTTCTGGTTGTTTATCCACCTCTGGACTTTAGTCTTGTTTGAGAATCTAAGTGTTGGGCGCACATCCGTTTAACAGATCTGACTTAATTGTATTCAGATTGTTGGTTCCTTGCCTCTCAGGCAGATGCCTCTCAGGGGGAACTTACATTATTCACTTTGATTCCATGTTAGCATCCTTACTTCCGTAATAATTTTGTTTAATTCTCATTTTTTTTTTTAAATGTCATTTATTTTTTAATTAAAAACCCACGAGTATTTTGTTATTTACACTAATATCTTGGTGTAGCGAATCTGTTTAAAGGTGAAATGATCGACTTCATTGCACCATGTTTTATTCTATCAGGTTCAGTTTCCATAGAATGGCTGGTCATACAAAGCACAAGCACCATATTCCAGATAGGCATATACAGATAGGCCTCACTGTAGTGATATATCGTTGCATAGGCCTCAGTGCAGTGA